ATTTTGCTTATGCTTGTCCTGCTTTTTGACATTCAATCTTGTATGTTCAAAGTTTTGCTAATTTAGTTTCTCTTTTACTTCACTTTTTTTTCTTCAATTTAATTTTATTTTTTGAATTCCTGCCCCCTCTCCTCTATTCAGCAGTTTCCCATAAAGAAAGAGAAAAAAGAGAAAAATGGCAGACGGTCAAGAAACCGACAAGAACATCGAGATATGGAAGATCAAGAAGCTGATCAAGGCACTTGAGGCTGCCCATGGAAACGGGACCAGCATGATCTCCCTCATCATGCCCCCTCGCGACCAGATTGCTCGCGTGGCCAAGATGCTCGGCGACGAGTATGGAACCGCCTCAAACATCAAGAGCCGCGTTAACCGCCAGTCGGTCCTTGGCGCAATCACCTCTGCCCAGCAGCGCCTCAAGCTCTACAGCAAAGTCCCTCCCAACGGCCTTGTCCTGTACACAGGCACTATTGTCACTGAAGAAGGGAAGGAAAAAAAAGTCACTTTCGATTTCGAGCCCTTCCGCGCAATAAACTCGTCCCTCTACCTTTGTGACAACAAGTTCCACACTGAAGCCCTTAATGAGCTGTTGGAATCGGATGACAAGTTCGGTTTCATTATCATGGATGGCAATGGCACACTTTTCGGGACCTTGAGTGGTAACACCCGTGAAATCCTGCACAAGTTCACTGTCGATCTGCCTAAGAAGCACGGGCGTGGGGGCCAGTCGGCCTTGCGTTTTGCCCGGTTGAGAATGGAGAAGCGCCACAACTACGTGAGGAAGACTGCTGAGCTGGCGACCCAGTTCTACATCAATGCCCAGACGAGCCAGCCCAACGTGGCCGGGCTTATCCTTGCTGGCTCGGCCGATTTCAAGACCGAGCTGAGCCAGTCGGACATGTTTGACCCCCGACTGCAGGCCAAGATTCTGAATGTGGTGGATGTCTCGTACGGTGGGGAGAATGGGTTCAATCAGGCGATCGAGCTCTCGGCTGAGATCCTTTCAAACGTCAAGTTCATACAGGAGAAGCGCCTGATTGGGAAGTACTTTGAGGAGATTAGTCAGGACACAGGCAAATATGTTTTCGGGGTGGATGACACATTGAAGGTTCTGGAGATGGGGGCAGTCGAAACTTTAATTGTCTGGGAGAATCTTGACGTGACCAGATTCATACTCAAGAACACTACAACTGGCGAGATTTTGATTAAGAACCTGACCAAGGACCAAGCGGCTGACCAGAAGAATTTCCGGGATGCTGCAACGAATGCTGAGCTGGAGGTGCAGGAGGATATGCTGCTGCTCGAGTGGTTTGCGAATGAGTACCGGAAGTTTGGGTGCACTCTCGAGTTTGTGACCAACAAGTCTCAGGAGGGCTCCCAGTTTTGCCGTGGGTTTGGGGGTATTGGGGGGATACTACGCTACCAGCTGGATGTCCGGGCATTTGATGAACTTTCGGATGATGGTGAACTTCTCGAGGAATCTGAATAGCAGTCAGCCGATTTTAGTGATGCCGGTGGGGGGGTGGTTGCCCCCACCGGCGGGCGCCTGGGCTGGCGGCTGGATTGGGCTAGCCTGGGTTGAAGGATTTGAGGTTTCAAAGGAAGTCAATGTCTGGTAAAGTGGATTTTTGCTTTTCTTTTTCATTTCTGTAATGTTCTTGGGTTTAGTTGCTAAATTTATATCGAGTTTTACATCGAGCGAGTTGCAGCTAATTGGGATGATATGGCTATCTTTTGAAATTTCGAATTTTCTCGTGATATATGTTTCTATTTTCTAACTACAAAACCTTAATATGTTATACTTTATTAAGAAAATGCAAAACATAAGTTGTTTTTTGTTTTACCTTAAGGTGGGTAATTGTGAGGTTGAAGTTAATTGGCTATTTTTTATGAAAAGTCTTATTTATTTATTTATTTATTTTTTGCCTGGGATCTAAATGTGCTAAGTGGTAACTGGTGTTTCTTTTTTCTTTACTTGTGTGTGCAGTCTCGGATGAACTCTACTTGAGGGAAACCGTGGAAGGCATGACGATGCTTGCTTACTGAGGCTACTTAATGATCAATGTCCGCTTACCATTTTACTCAAAACTTAAAAATGATTAAGCTATGTGTCGAGTTTGTTTTCGTGAGTCATTTGCATTTGGACTGCAGTATTATATTTCAGTGTGGGAAATAAGCAGCGGATAACTTAATCAGATGCTTTTGCTGTGTTTATTTGAAGCTGGGGATACTTTCTGGTATTGAGAATTTGAAACTACTTTGATATTGCTTTGGATATTATTTATTATGGTGTGATCTTGTTTTGTTGGAATTTGCTATATTTATTAGTGTGGATATGTCCTATTTTGCCTTGAGATTTATTTTGCTATTTTCCTATGAACTGTTGATACTCAAAATCATGGATCTTATGTCTGTGAAAAGAGTTGGAAACTTGTTGCACAGGCTGGGAGTTTTGGATCAATTTTTATTAAAACTACATATATTAATATTTTGTTCGTAAAATATCAGAAGCAATATAGCCGGTTAACTACATTGTAAACGAAATAAATCAGAAGCAATATAGCCGGTTATGACATTGTTAGAATGGAAACTGAGTGTAAACGAAATGACTTTGCATTGAGAAAATACATTTTTGGTAAAGGAAAACAAAATGATAGCACAATTTCGGTTTAATCTCATGAGTCAACTTTTGTCTCACAAGTCAGTTTTACTAAATTTGTGATTATTTGAACATTTAAAAGTTGAACATTATATATCTGATGTTTTGGACAAAAAGGTCATTGTTGGGTTGTGATAAAAAACATCATACCACCCTCAAGATGTGTTAAAATTGCCTTGCAAGTCATGGGTGTAGGTGTGTGCTCAACTGCCACACACGACATATAGAATTATCACAATCTCGATCCTGCTAGTAAACACCGTATAAAGTTTGTTAAGGAATGTTATTCTATCCTATCATTCTAAGTAAAAGATGCCTTACAGAGACGAAGATGACAATAAAACAAAAGTTATTCTTACTGATATTCTATAACTCTAGTGTTTTTTGTTGTGTCCGATATAAATTCTCTCGTCGATGTGTAATTCGAATATATTGACGCTCACTCCCAATCAGGTGCTCGAGTGAGTTGAAAATTTAAGGTCTTTTATTTTTTTTCCTATTATTACAAATATTCAAATGTCCCAAACTCTTTAATGTGAGGTGTATCAATCAAATTGCTAATGAAACAAAAATGCCAAAATAAAAAGGTACTATCCATCAAATTGTTAATGAAACAAATATTCTGATTTAATCTTCAATTGAGCTTGTATTATAGAAAGATAGTTGCCCTACAGAATAAACTTTTTGAGATAACAAAAAGCGTCTGCAACTTAGTGCGACTTTAAGCTTAGCAGTCTACAGAGACACAGCTCACATAATTTTTTTTTTTTCTTTTTTTTTTAATCGTAAAGTCCAAGCCTGCCTCTCTTGTTTCGATTTCTCGTTCGCAAATTTTCAGCTGAGGTATATCTTCTCTACGTTTGCTTTTCAAACTAGTACTGACCCGTGCGATGCACGGAGTGGTATATCGTTATGAAATTTATTTAAAATTAACATTAAATTTAATGCACTTTGTAGATATGTAACAAATATAAAATGGAAAAAAATAAATTTAAAACTTCATATATTAGTAAACACTTCTTTGTACACAACGTTTTGGTCTGATTCGGTGGCAAGTCATCGTCATTACAGACTAATATCTTCAACCTACTTCGATTGGTGACACAGAAAGCGGCAACATATAATTGTCCATGACTGAAGACTGGCTTCTTAAGAAATAAACCAACATGCGATAATGATTGTCTCTGGCTCTTGTTGATAGTCATGGCATACGAAACCATAACGGGAAATTTTCGCCTCTGGAACTTGAAAAGAATTCTGACATCGGAAGGAGTTATAGTCATTCTAGGAATCAACACCTTCTCGCCTTCGTGATCCCCAGTGAGTATTTTATACTCAAGAACATGGGCGGAAAGTTGTGTCACAACCAACCGTGTCCCATTACATAAACCCATAGAATGATCCATATTCCACAACAACATGACGGGGGTTCCAATCTACAAATGCAACTGATGATTTGGAATTCTCGAACATTTGATGCTATTAAAAAACTCGAGCGTATGGATATCAGAAAAAAAAAATTCATTATTAGAGTCGGACTTGCAAGTACTGTCGGAACTCAAGTACGTATTACAATCTGATAAATTCAACGATGTCGTGTATTCATTCATGGACTCGACTACATCAAACATT